CACAAACTGGTCCTCTGACTCCGAACTGGAGTCTGAACTGGATGAGGAGGTTCGGGCGGCCTTGCCCTTGCCGGAGCTGAAGGCGAAGGCAGACTTTGAGGACTGTCTGGTGGCAGCTGCCGTTTTTGTAGCGGGCCCATCTTTCAACAGCTCAGCTGACAGTTTCTCGGAAAAGGTGCCCCCCTGCACTGTGACACTGCAGTGGTCATCGCCGGCTGACTCTGGACCGGAATCCGACTCTGACAGGTAGCCTGGGCTCCCTTTGGGTCCCGCGTTGCTTTTCCTCCGGGCTTTAGTGAGGCTGCTTCTGGGGGAGCACTTGGGGGAGCCCTTGGGGGAGCCTCTGGGGGAGCCCCTGGGGGAGCCCCTGGGCGAGCTGCAGTTCTGTGGGCTCCACTCCTTGGGCGCTGGTGTTTTGGAAGACTTGGAGGCCTTGGTCTGCTTCTTATGTTCACATTTCTCCTTTCGTTTTGGTGATTTCTTTTTGGCCTCTTCCTCCTCCTCTGCTGGGCTACCGGTCACTTTGCTCTTTCTCTTGTTTCTCGCCCTCCCCATCTCATCTGGAACCTGTTTTGTTTCCGGGCCCAAGGCCTTCTCACTATGGCCCTCCTCCTGCTTTTTCCAGGGCTTCTTTGAGCACTTGGAACCCAGTTCCGTCTCTTCATCCTCCACCAACTTAAAAGCCCGCTTCTTCGCTTTTCTGGGTACAAAATGAGAGTCGCCACCATTGCTTATGACCAGATTCTCAGGGAGTCCTCCATCTTCTAACTTAACCCTGTCAAAAGAAGAGAGCAATTAGCAAGCACAGCTCCAGGATGCAGTTCCACACGGCCACAGCGGCAGACTGCCACACAGCCTAAGGATGAACGCTCCACAAAATGACCCACAGAGCACAACCCGTTCATTGGCTAGTTTTGTTTTGTCTTTGTTGTTTTGAGACAGGGTCTCACCTTAGATGGCCTGGAACTTGCTAAGGAGATCAGGCTGGCCTCCAACACACAGAGATCCACCTGCCTCTTCCTCCTCCTGAGTGCTGGGATTAAAGGCAGTATCATCATGCCGTGCTCATTGTGGCTAGTTTTATTAACTTAATATCTACTGTGTCCCATACATTTCTTTCTAACTTAAACATTACCAACAAACTAGAAATCTTTCATGTCACAGGTCTCAAAACTACAACTCAAACAGGGGCCTTCCAAGACCCAGGGCTGATAAGTAGTAGAAGGATATTCTAACCTTGGCTTGCCTATCTTCAAAATTCAATTTTTTTTAAACAACATAACATTTTTATTTATTGACAATTTCATACACACATAAAATTAATTTCAATCACATTCACACACAAACACCAGCTTCCAGCTTCTCTCAGATGCCCCCAACTTCATGCCCCCTTTTTCCTTAATTCACAATCTTTCTACTATGTGTGCGTTAGCCATTCTAAAAGGTGAACATATTAACCATCCAGCTTTGCTTTAAAACGAGTAAAAACATAAAATGAATCTGAATGTCGGTTACAGCACCGGGGAAATGGAGCCAGGCAGAGCCAGGCGATCCCTGGAGCTCACTGGCCAGGCCAGCCTAGCTCGGTTCCAGGTTCAGTGAGAGAGCCTGTCTCCAAAAGATAAGGTCGATCATAACTGAGGACGGCACTAGGCATCTCTGCATAAATTTACAGACATTCATGCACACCCAATGCATATGCACACATACATATACAAGACACAGACACGTATACATATAATGAATCTGTCAGGGGAAGACAATTATAAAGAGTAAGAAACAATGCCGGGAGGTGGTGGTGCATGGCTTTAATCTCAGCACTCGGGAGGCAGAGGCAGGCAGATCTCTGTGAGTTCAAGGCCAGCCTGGTCTACGGAGCAAGATGCAGGAAAGGCGCAAAGCTACACAGAGAAACCCTGTCTTGAGAAACTGGAAAAAAAAAAGAGTAACAAACAAACTACCCCTAAATTTTCACATTTAGTTGCTTTTCTTTTTTAATTAAAATTTTTTGAGATGCTTATTTCTTTTTCTTTGTTTGGGTGTTTTGATGCATGTATATTTGTGTCCCATGTGTATGCAGTATCCATAAAGACCAGAAGAGGGCATCAGACCCTCCTGGGACTGTAGTGAGCTATCATGTAGGTGCTGGGACCTGAGCCCTGAACCAGGGTCCTCTACAGGAGTAGACAGTGCTCTTAGCTACTGAGTCATATAGTCTTTTTGTTTTGTTTTGTTTGACTATGATCTACATCATTTACCAGCGAGGCTCACTACATCCACCCCTCTAGCTCCCTGGCTGAATCTAGGGCCTCAGGCATGCTAGCTAGGCAAACACTCATTCAGCTACTGAGCTACATTCTCAGGCCCACAGGAGTACCATTTTTCCACATGCAATTGTTCATTTGAGGCATTTAGGAGGAATTTCCCTGTCATCTGCTACAATTATTACTTGTAACAGATTTCACTGTTGTTTTTGACATCATTAACATCATTATAAGAATATAATTTGGGCTGGAAAGATGGCTTAGCGGTTAAGAGTAGTGGCTGATCTTCCAGAGGTCCTAAGTTCAATTCCCAGCAACCACATGGTGGCTCACAACCAATCTATAGTGGAATCTGATGCCCTCTTCTGGCATAAAATTGTACATGCAGATAGAACATTCATATACATAAAATAAATAAATAAAATTTAAAAATGTAATTCCTAGGTAATCTAAGTATTAACTGTAGCCAGCAGCAAGTTATTAATTCATTAAACTTAATAGATAGAGACACAGCTCTTTCTCTTTGTTTAAATAGTCCTTCAATTGTAATGAGAATGGACTTATTTCAGTCAATAAAAAGGAAAGGAAAAAGAGCAGCCAGGCATGGTAGCGAATGCCTTTAATCCCAGCACTTAGGAGGCAGAGGCAGGTGGGTCTCTGTGTTCAAAGCCTGCCTGGTCTACATCAAGAAGCCCTATCTCAAAAAAGAAAAAAGAAAAAGGGAAAAGAGCCTTGAATGCCTTTAATCCCAGCACTTGGGAGACAGAAGCAAGTAGATCTCTGTAGTTCAAGGCCAGCCTGTTTTACATGAGAGAATTTGCCTCAAAAATTAAAGGGGTGAGGGGAAGAACTTTGAAATTTGGACTATTTCAAGTTGTCACCTGAAGCTGAACATTACTAATAAATAAAAACATTACTAATAAAAATTACTAATAGCATTCCTGATTTAAGAGAGAGAGATACGAAGATATGGTCATTGTTTCGAGTTCATTTCCCTGATGTTCTGAAGAAATCTTGTACATGTGACACTCTCTAGAGAAAGCAATATTAAATAACAAAGGCAAGCAAGAAATAGTCTGGTTTACAATTCTGAAATTAATTCACTTTAGCTGAATCTTAAAGGTGGGGGAGGGGGATGGACTAATTCAGCCAAGATATGAATGCGAACTGGAATGATCCATCACATCTCACCACCATCTGAGATAATAACTAAGCCATGTGTCAACTAGTCACACTACAATCACCCCCGGATACTCACTTCAGTGTCAATTTTTTAAAAAAATTTCTTTGTTATTGTTTGAGACAGGGTTTCTCTACATAACCCTCATTGACTGGAACTCACTATGTAGACAAGACTGGCTTCGAACTCACAGAGACCTGCTTGCCTCTGATTCCTGAGTGTATTGGGATTAAAGGTATGTACCACCACATCTGGCTTAGTTTTTCAATTTCTAAGAGCATATTTAAAACTATATTGTGTGAGGTTTGGGAATATACTCAGTGATAGAGCACTTGCCCAGCATGTATGAGGCTCTGAGTTCCAAACTCAGCACCACAAAATAAAACAAAACGTAAGTTATTGTGTGTTCCTATTCTGTTGTTGTTTTCTTTTTTGAGTCAGGGTCTCTCTACAGAGCCCTGGCTGTCATGGAACTCGCTATGAAGACCAAGGCCTTTAAGTCAAGAGATCCACCTGCCTCTGAGTGCTGAGACTAAAGGCATGGGCCACCCTGTCCGGCGTTTACTTTAAAACAAACAAACAAAAAACCAGGGTCTTATGTGTGTCAAGCTGACCTTGAACTATTTAGCCAAGAATGACTTTGAACTTCTGAATCACCTGTCTCCACCTCCCCAGTGCTGGGATTCCCTGTTTGGGAGGCTGGGGATCCAATCTAAGGCTTTGTTGTTAGGCAAGCAGTCTAGCAACTGAAACACGCCCCCCACCCTTACCCCGACCCCCTACCCGGACCCCCCGGGTCTGCGGTCCCTATTCACAACTGAAATGGATTCCAAAAGCAATTCAAAGGAACCCAATGGCACATGAACCGTGACGCAGAATGACACCCACCAAATTAGCCTCAGCGGCCATGGCCAAGAAGCTAAGGTGGGACATTCCACGCGTGCTTATGAAAACATTACTCTCCTTCCTGCTTTGGTCTCCCGCACCGAGTGCTGCCCAGAGAAGGCGGGTCTGTGGCCATGCGGACGGGCACACAGAGCCCGGCTGGCTGAGTGACCCCTGGGCCGCCCGCCCCTGGAGCATCAGAGCTGCTCTAAGCCTAGCCGCCCTGGGATGAGAAAGCAGAGGGAAGGATGCTGCACCATCCGACGGGCTGGACCACTCCGGACCTCCCCGCCTGTGCCTCTCTGCAGCTAGCTCGCCACCCCGGGCCGGTGGACGCGCGGTCCGGCCAGCGCGCCCACGCCCGCACACCCCACCCCACCCCTCCCACCCACGCCCGCGCCGCGCGCCCCCGCACACCTGAGGCAGTCGTTGTCTCTCACCAGGCGCGCGCTCTCGGCGGGGGGCAGCAGCCCCCCTTCCAGGTAGAGGCCCAGGAGCGCCCCGGAACTGAAGCCGAAGCGCTGGCGGATGAGGCTGATGAGATCCGTGACAACTCGGCATCTGTTCAGGTCCACCAGAAGCCAGAAGACCGTGCAGTGCGGCGTGGCCGGCGGCGGGTAGTCAAATTGAAGCCGTAGCCTAACCGTCTCGGAGGCTGCCATCTTGCTCATGCTCAACGGAAGCCGAGAGGTTCCACAGGGCTACGGAGAGGCGTGCTCCGCGGCCCGCCCCCCCCCCCCCCGCCGCCACCCCCGAGGCCGTTTGCGCGCGCGCCGCCTAGAGGCGCAAGTGTGTACTGCAGGCTCCCGTCGTGAGCTCCAGCACTGATTGTAAGGTCTGAATATACGCAAGCATCTGTCACGATGTCTCCTAAGATATCGGTTCGTGTATGGGGAAAAAAAAGCCTGTATAAACAGTAAGCAGCCTGACCCCAAACCCTGTAATACGATTTTTTACCTTTATACCAAAAAGATCAAGAAAGCACCAGAATCCACATGTGATATTTGTCCAGGCAGAATCCGAAGGATTTGTGCTGTGAGACCTAAAGTTCTCATGAGAATGTCTAAAACCAACAAAAACACATGTCCTTGGGGCCTCAGGGGTTTCATGTGTGTTGTGTCTGTGACCAGATCAAGCGTGCTTTCCTTTTCTTGAGGCAGAAAAATTGTGAAAGTGTTAAAGGCACAAAGTGGAGAATCAGAAAGTTAAATACGGAGATTTTTTTTTTTTTTAAGATTTATTATGTATACAGTGTTCTGCCTGCATGTATGCCTGCAGGCCAGAAGAGGGCACCAGATCTCATTACAGAGGGTTGTGAGACATCCTGTGGTTGCTGGACATTGAACTAAGGACCTCTGGAAGAGCAGCTAGTAGTGGTCTTAACCAGCCCCCTATGAAGCTTTTTAAAATAATTAAAATCAAGGCTTGTCCTCTAAAAACAATAAAAACCAGTAACTTTGAGCTGGGGATAGAGCACAGTTGGTAGAGTCAACAACTGTGGGGTCATCAACACCACCACAAAGAGGTCATATAAAGTATGACCTCTTATCCTTATTTGGAAGATTTCAGAAATATTAATGTTCAGAGAAGTTAAGCAACACCCCCCAAGGTCATTAGACCAGTGAATGGTTGGGACTTGGCAGTCAGTATACACACTGAAAAAAGTTTCTTTTTATTCTAATCCTTAGGTCTTTCGGATTAAATCACCATTACTTTCTTTTGATGTTTGGGTCAAAGCCAAAGAGTTGTACTATACATGCTAGGGAAATGTCTTATTCCCTCAGCTACAGTCCAGCCCTACATTACCATCATAGTTATTAGTGGGGCACAGGCAATCAAAATAACATAAAACAAAGCTGGACATGGCGGCCATGCCTTTAATCCCAGCACTCGGGAGGCAAAGGCAGTAGGGTAAAAAGGGCCAAGGAAAAACTCCCTGACCCTGACTTGACCCCTGACAAGACCAGGGTCAAGGCCTTGAAATCCCACCAATCCCTGAGCTTGTCCCAGAGTCATGCCATAGAATTTTACCAATTCCTAAAATCACTAAAGCAAAAATCCCACCAATCTCTGAGCGTGCGCCAGAATCACCACAAAAACCCACCAATCCCAAGCCACCCTGGAAAGCTTCACCCCCTCCCCCAAGAAACCCTATATAAGCTCTGTATTCTGTTCAATGTGCTGCTGCTTCTCACCCTAGAGGCAACCACCCTCCTGGATTTTCCCTTCCCAAGAAATCTCTTGTGTGAGGTTTGTTGTGCAGTGTGACACTTTCACTAGAGCAGAGCGGGGCTGTGACAACTTTTGCTAGAGCATAGCAAAACTGTAACACTTTCACTGGGGAAACTTTCCCCCAAAGCAGAGCTGTAAGGACTTTGCTGGGAAAACTCTCCCCCAACAGAACAGAGTTGAGGAAACCTTTCCCTGGAGCAGAGCTGTAAGCTGCAACAATTACAGTGACTCTGTGGCATTTATTCCTGGGCTCTCGACTGTCAGGATACATTCCCATCAGAGATGCAACACTAACATTTGGTGCTGTGACTGGGATAGGCTCTCCTGGTGCCTGTGCTCTCTCCCTGTGATCTGAGATGCAGTGGGACCCTATCCCTCATCTGCAGTGCCCTGGGAACAGACTCACCTTCCGGCTCACTGATGGCTCAGCACCCCACTCACCAGCGGCAATCGGGTAAGTTTCTCCTTTGGTCAGTGTAAACGTTTCCCTGAGTCCAAGGAAGTGACCGTTGACTGTCCAACACCCCTCGGGTACTCTTGGAGGTGGAGGTATCCCCATTCACGTTCTTTAAGGCTATGACTGGCCCTCTTCACCTGGCCTCCACCCCTGGAGCTGCAATCCTGCAGTTTCCTTAGGCCCAAATGGGCTACTGTGCCCCCGTTCTTCCCCTTTCTCCCTGTTTTCCCTCTGGAGTTGCCCGTGACCCCACAGCACCTCTAGGTCCTTGTGGCTTTGGTGACCCCACTCCTCACCCCTTCCTGTGGATGGTCTGTGGGATGGTCTGTATGTCAGTTACTGTTACTCTGATTGGTCAATAAATAAAACACTGATCGGTCCGTGGCTAGGCAGGAAGTATAGGCGGGACTAACAGAGAGGAGAAAAGAAAGAACAGGAAGGCAGAAAGAGTCACTGCTAGCCGCCGCCATGACAAGCAGCATGTGAAGACACCGGTAAGCCACAAGCCACGTGGCAAGGTATAGATTTACGGAAATGGATTAATTTAAGCTATAAGAACAGTTAGCAAGAAGCCTGCCACGGCCATACGGTTTGTAAGCAATATAAGTCTTTGTGTTTACTTGGTTGGGTCTGAGCGGCTGTGGGACTGGCTGGTGACAGAGATTTGTCCTGACTGTGGACAAGGCAGGAAAACTCTAGCTACATGAGACCTCCCCTCTTAGAGCTTGGTTTTCATCCTTGCCTTCTGGCCTCTACCCAAGCCCTGGTACCAGGCGCTGAGTCTTACCTCATGTTGAAAACAAAAAGCTTGAGGGCCAGGGAGGTGGCCCTGCGGTTAAGGATCTGACAACTTGAGGTAGGTCCCTGGCACTCACATGGTAGGAGAGGACCAACTCCCACAAGCTGTCCTCTGGCTCCCACATGTGCCATGGCATGCACATCCCCCTACTAAAAAATAAATAAAATCAAAATGATTTTTTCTTTCTAATTTTGTTTTGTTTTGTTTTTTGAGACAGGCCTCTCTGTTTAGCCCTGGCTGTCCTGGAGCTCACTCTGTAGACTCGACTGGCCTCAAAATCCATCTGCCTCTGCCTCCAGAGTGCTGGAATTAAAGGCGTGCACCACCACTGCCCTGTGATTTATTTATTTTTATTTTATGTGTATGGGTGTTCTGCCTGCCTGAATGTGTGTCACATGCATGCACTGCCCAAGGAGTCCAGAAGAAGGCATCAGAGGCATGATGGATGGTTGTGAACCAGTATATGGGTGCTGGGAATTGAACCCACATCCTATGGAAAAGCAGCCAATGCTCTTAACTCCAGCCCCCTTTTCCTTCTTTTTGAAACAGTGTTTCACTATGTATGGATGGCCTTGAACTCACTAAGATCCACTTGTCTCTGCATTCCTAATGCTGGGATTAAAAGCATACACCACCATTCCTTGACTCCAAAGAAGTTTTTTTTTTTAGATTTACTTATATGTTATGTGTGTTTGTCTGTGAGTGTGTGTGTGTGTGTGTGTGTGTGTGTGTGTGTGTGTGTCAGAGAGAGAGAGAGAGAGAGAGAGGTGTCACATATATGATGCCCGGTGCCTTCTTGGAGCCTACTGAGGCCAGAAGAGGGCATCAGATCTCCTGAAACTGGAGTTACAAATACAAAATTATTGTAGGCTACTGTGTGGGTGCTGAAAACCAAACCCGGATCCAGCAAGAGCAGCAAGTGCTCTGAATGACCAAGTCATCTCTTTAGCACACTCTTCCAGCCTCCACCCCACTTGTAGCTGGAGAGTTTCTCCCCTGGTCCTGCCAAGCCCCCGCAGTCCACTTACAAACTAAACACACAGACGCTTATATTATTTAAACTGTTTGGCCTAATGGCTCAGGCTTCTAGCTAGCTGTTCTTATATCTTAAATTAACCCATTTCTATTAATCTATAAGTTGCCATGTGGTTTGTGACTTACCAGTATCTTAACATCTTATCACGGTGCCTGGCAGCATCTCTCTCCTCAGCCTTCCACTTCCCAGACCTCTTCTCTCTCTTTGTCCTGCCTATACTTCCTGTCTGGCTACTGGCCAATTAGCATTTATCAATCAATCATTCACAGCATCCACTCCCACCCCCACCTCCACAAAACCAAATTTTTTTTTTTTGTTGTTTTTGGTTTTGGTTTTTCGAGACAGGGTTTCTCTGTGTAGCTTTGCGCCTTTCCTGGATCTCGCTCTGTAGCCCAGGCTGGCCTTGAACTCACAGAGATCTGCCTGCCTCTGCCTCCTGAGTGCTGGGATTAAAAGCGTGCGCCATCACCACCTGGCCCAAATTTTTTTTTGAGACTTGGTCTTGTATAGCCTGAACTGGCCTTGGACTTGCTATGTAGCTTAGGATGAGCCTGAATTCCTGATCCTCCTGTCTCCATCTGCCGCTACCTCTTTTTTCAAATGGCCTGGCACATACCTGTCATGTGGTACTTGGCGACATCTGCCTAAATGATCAGTGCACGAGCTCTTTGACCTTGCAGTTCTTTTGGGTGTCTAGCCTACCCCCAGTCATGGGTGTTAAGCTACACGCGTAGACTCCTGCGCAATGATTTTGGCAACACCATTTGCTTATTTCACAATGCTAGAGATCGAACACAGGGCTTTTTGTACACACTGGGCAAGCACTCTACCACTGAGAAACATCCTCCAGCCTGGCAAAGTGAATGCCATCAGCTGGGACTGAACACAAGGTAGGAGGAGGGCCGAGTCCTTATCACTGCTGGCTGGAGGCAGAATTGCCTTGCTCCAGCTTCGTTCTGGCTGCTGTGTGCAAATGGGCTGCAGTGAACTCACTCATCTCTGGGTCCTGGTTTACTCTCTTCTGAGTTCGGAAACGCAACAACTGAACGGGATTTGAATGCACCTACGTCTAGAGGTAAGTTACTTTTCCTGTTATCACACCTACGGGCCATTTAAATTTAGATGCTGAAGTTCAAAACAGGGTTCAAAACCACCCCTGCATCTAGTAGCCCATCATCACACATCTTTTGGGTTACCTGGGATATACGTCCAACAGCTTGAAGTGCCACTTGGAATAAAGCAGCCAATAAAAAATGTATCATTGGGCTAGAGAGATGGCTCAGAGGTTAAGAGCATCAACTGTTCTTCCAGAGGTCCTGAGTTCAATTCCCAGCACTCACATGATGGCTCACAACCATCTGTAATGAGATCTGGTGCCCTCTTCTGTATACATAATAAATAAATAAATCTTTAAAAAAAAACAAGAAATTTAGGAAAAAAACAAAACAACAACAACAAAAAAAAAAGTATCATTTTGAAAGGTTCATTAAGCTAGCCATCTGGAAAACTGCAGAGGAAGGTAGGAACCCCAGATACCCCTCTAGTCTTTGTGCGTTTCCTTCACAACAATAATCTCTAGAATATTTCATCTCTGATATTTTCCTGTCATGACCTTTGTCATGTTTATAATTTGTCTCTGCCTTGACTGGAGCCTTAATTTTTTTTATATGTATGATGTTGATCACATGCTATCAAGAGATTTAAAAAATACATTTTTTGTTGTGTTTAAGAAGATATAACCAAAACTTATGAGCAAATGATTGTATATAATCTATTTTTTTTAATTTCTAATATATTCACGATACATGTGAGTACTTTTTTAGTTTCATTTTATTTTATTTATATGAGTTTTGCCTGCTTGCTTGCATGTGCATCACACGTGTGCCTGAGAAAGTCAGAAGGTGCCAGATCCCCTGGAATATGAGATATGGAGTTAAGGATGGTTGTGAGCCACCATGGGGACGCTGGGAAACCAAACTCATGTCCTCCGGAAGAGCAGCAAATGCTCTTAACCTCTGAACCTTCACTCCAGAATGATGTTTTTAAAAACATATTTCTGCAGATGGAATCTAGTTTTAAATGACCTGCTGATTCATGCTTCCTCTGACTTAATCTGAGTGGAGGCAAATGTAGTTTTAAAAATGCTAGGCCTGGGATGAAGAGCCGGCTCACTCGACCCCAGTTCAGTTTCCAGCATCCATCCTGAGCTGCCACCCACAGCTGCCTGTAACTCCAACTCCAGGGAATCCCACTCCTTTTTTTGCATAAACCCACACATGTGGTATACGCACTTACACACACACACACACACACACACACACACACACACACACACACGAACAAGTCTTACAAAATAAAATACTAGGCCTTTTTTTTTTTGGAGAGGACAAACACGGGCAGGTCAGGGAGAATGGAGGTCACCCCTCTGTGGTTTCTCAACCCTCCCCTACTTTGTAACCAAATGATACATTAGCGGCCTCCTCCCAACTCCTCCCTAAACACAGAGACCGAACTCGGCAGAACCATCAGAGAGCCCTGCCCGGAGGTCCTGGGTGGGTCCGACCGGCAGAGGGAGCGCCGAACACTGGGAGCCTCAGGGCCCACTTAGGCCCCGCCCCGACTCCGCTCGGGCCCCGCCCACGGCCCACCCACCGCCGTCACGCGCTGCCCGGCTGGGTCCAGCCTGTTGCTGATGCTGCGGCGCTGTGTGCACCATGGAGCTGGCGTGGTGGATCTGTCCGGCCCGACTGTGGCTGCTGCTGCTGTCGCTTCTACTGGGCCTGAGCGCAGGTAGGTTCCCAAGGAAGGCGTACCAGTGGTGGGTGCCTCCTTCTCGAATTTGCTAGTGGATTCGTGGCTTTTTGTTTTTGTTTTAAACACATTCACCCCACCCCCGTCCTTCCCTTGCATGATTTATATCGCTATTGAACCTCTTAATTTTTATTTATGTTTTAGTTCAAAGTTCCTTTTCTGATTCCTCTACGCGGAGGTAGAGGTGGTTGTACAAAAACATGCGGTTTCAGGAAACTGCTGATGAGTGAGACTTGCGGTCTAAAAGCCACCTCCCCTTTCTGCTCGGTTGGCTGCCTAGTGACGTTATAGGGTCATTTGGTTGAGCAGAGATCAGAGGCCAAACAGACCCCTGCAAATCCTACCACCCCTGGGGTGTAGCTTTGAAACAATGCCTGCCGCCTCTGCTGGGTTAGAACAGACAGATATCAGCTGACTCCACTGGCCTGTTTTGGGGCAAAAGCAAATTTATTTTGTGGAATGATTTGGAAATTGACTCTCATTTTATTACATACCCTCCCCACCCCACCTCCCACCCCCGGACAGGTTTTCTCTGTGTAGCCCTGGCTGTCCTAGAACCAACTCTGTAGACCAGGCTGGCTTTGAACTCACAGAGCTCTACTTGCTTCTGCCTCTCAAGTGCTGGGCTTAAAGGCGAGCACCACCACCGCCCGCAAAAACATTTTTAATTTTGTTTTGCCTGCATGTATGTTTGTGTACTATGTATATGCCTGGTGCCCTCCGGGGTTAGGAGAAAGCTTTGGATGCCCTGGAACTGGAGTTACAGAAGGTTGTGAACTGACATGTGGTTGCTGGGAATTGAACCCAGGGCCTCTGGAAAAGCAGACATTGCTCTTACCAGCTGAACCATCTTTCCAGCCTTTTAAATTTTATTTAATTTTTTTGCATTTTTTGTTTTGTGAGTGTAGGAAGGGTATGCATGTGCCACTGTGTGTGTGTGTGCGCGCGCGCACAAATACTTATGGAGGTCAGAAGACAGTCGCAGGTGTTGTTCCTAGGGAACTATCCACCTTTTTTTGAAGATTAGGACTCTCACTGGTCCAAAACTCTCCAAGGAGGCTAGGCTGGCTGGCCAGCAAGCCGCAGGATTTGCCTGTCTCTAGCCCCGGCCCTGGAATTGTATACAAGCACAAAAGCCACATTTAGCTGGAGACTGAACTTTGGTCTTTGTGCTTTCTAGGTGAACACTTTACTGACTGACCAAATTTCCTCAGCTCCACTTTTTGGTTTTCTTAATCTTCTTCCTCCTTCTCTATTTCATTGTATTTTATTTTATTCTTTGTTTTTTTTTTTTTTTTGTTTGTTTGTTTTAAGTTAGGGTTTCTTGTTTCCCCAATTGGCCTCAAACCCAGCATGTGCTTAGGTTGGACACAGACTCCTGATCCTCCTGTCTTCCATCTCCCCAG